TCTGGCTAGGGTGCTGGCTGGCAAAATCATGTAAAGGTTGCCTTTGGACACTGGTGCAACTGGGGATTACTTGACCTTTTGCCTGTTCTTCCTTCAGCTTGTCAGAACTGGAAACAGATGCTAAAGTTTTCAAAGAAACTATTCTGGAGATCTTAGATGAAGAAGAACTAATAGAAGAACTCTGTCTGTCTAAATGGACTGATCCACAAGTATTGTATGTATATTTTGAAACCACATACATTTTTTTAACAGTGTGTTTTGTTTGAGGAGAACTTGAACACTAAACTGGATGGAAAGAAAGTATTTCAAAATTTTTTTAACCCTAATGCTTGCTACTACAGAAACCTTTGTAGTTGCCATTTTGGAGAGGAACACCATTGTTACAGAGTTACAAATAGTTACTGACATAACAGGCCAGCTTATCTAGTTTGTGATGGGATGGGAGAAGGATGGCAGAAAAAGCAAATGTTATTTTTCAATCTAAATCAACATTCTGAGAGAATTTTCCTCAGTTTCACCAAGATAAAAACTAGAGACAGATTTTAAAGTTTGTCTTGAATAGGTCAGATTCCACACTTCCTTTACTAGAGGTGTTCTGAACACCTTGCTCCTAGCTTTTTGCTGACTAGCAGAACCCAAAGGAAAGAGGCCTCAGAAAAGTCTTGGACACCTGAAGAACAGCATTCCAGGAGATGAATGTGCAGAAACAATCCTATTTCACTGGTGAAAGACAGCACACAGCAACACAGCACTGGTCACTTTAATAAAAATTAAAAAACTGAAAGATAATGTATAGAATTTCCAAATATGTTTTGGGCTGAATTGTATTTAAATCTTGGGCCTAGAGATGTGTTTTATATAAAAGCAGAAGTTACCTTCCAGCATACTTTGTGAAGTTGCTGAATGTTACTTTTGCCTAACTACATTGCATGTACACATTAATACTGTTCACATGGTAGCGTGGGTTTGAAGTCTCGTCCTGCAGAGCTTAATCTAAATGTGCAGCAGAAACTCAGTGTTCCTGAAGTGGTTTGCATTTCTAAGGTATCTTCTGAAGCAGTATCACATGTAGCTGTTAATTCCAGCTGCTTCTAAATCAGCAGCTGGTCTTTTTCCTGGTTTTGCTCACAGCCTTCCTTTAGACTTAGGTAAGTCTGCTGGCAAAGCCTTTGTTGCCTCACAACAAAGTGTGTAGGGGATCTAGGAAAGATCCCAGTGGCACCTTATGCTCATGTCAAGAGAAACCCACAGGCATCCCTTGTCTCAGACACCATTGTACAAGGGTAGGAGAGGTAGTAGGAGTTTGTGTGAAGAGCTGTGCTGCAGGATGCAGTGAGGCAGTCTGCACACAAGGCACACTGGGAAACACAAGCCATGACAACATATGCAGGCACACTGGCCGTGTGTGATGCAGGATTTTTGATGCAGGATTGATGCAACTGATAGGTGGTATTTGATGAACTTGGGAAGCCTGAAAGGATGTGGAGGATCCCAGTTAAGCAGATAGGTGCCATCAGAGATCTTTTGCAGCAGAATGGTGAGCTTAGCTCAGAGATGAGGCTGACCTCTTAACTTTGTGTGAAGGAACATCAGAATGTGGAAGAGTCATGAGACAGATGGAGGCTAGTTAATGAAAGCACATCCAGTGGCAGTTATTTTCACGTCTTTATGGCTGTCTTTATTTTGTGTATCCCCAGAGGAGCTGATGTAAATGTAGAGATACTCATCGAGTATGACCTTGAGCTGAAGCTGTAATACTGCAGATAGTGCTCTAAGACTTTCAAGTCTGAAACTCCTCATCTCCATGCAGTGAAAACCTCAAGATCTGAAGGGCTTTCAAATCAGGTTAGCTAACTAAGTTGCTGCCCTAGAAGAGAGAAAGTAGTTAGAGAAACTAGCCCTTTTAAAGGTCCTCAGGGAGCTTACATGAGTTGATTTGTAAAGACATACCACTTATTTTCATGGCAAACATTTCAGAGATGTTTCTTTAGCAGTCAATAATGCCAGGTGGAGATTCATTAAAAATTTAGGTCTCTCTGGAGAAATGAGATCATACCACAAAACAGAAAATTATGAACAATATTCCTGGTTTTGCTGCTTAGTTTCCAAACTCCTGTGGACCTCAGGTGCCTCAGTTTCATATACACAATGCCAGAAACAAGTTTTGCAGGGGTAGGCTGCTGCACCAGCAGTAGCACTCTGAAGTAAGATGACAGCCTCTCAGATTTCACTTAAGGAAGGAGCATCTTTGATCAAAATGCTCATTCTTTGGCTGCTTCGGGATTGAAAAATACTTTGCAGCAATTTCTGTGTATAGCTCAAATGCTTCAGTACTAAATAATTTTAATGTAACCTAAACCATCTCCATCACTGTGTGATTGTTTGTGTATTGACTTTTGGATGTTTTATTGTTGGGACTTTTTCACTGCATCGTTACCAGCTCTCACCACTTGAGGGCACTAAAAAGTTAATCTGTCGAAATAGTTACCATTTGATAATAACTTAATAATATATAATACAATATTTTTATAGCTTTGTAATATCTGAAAAACTTAACATTTGTGCTGGTGTGCATACTTCAAGCACATCAAATGCTAACTTTGCTACTTGAAATAATTGACTGCCTATGCTGAGGTGCTGATAAATATAAAAGTATTTATTTTATTTTATGCTGTTGGAACTGATGGAAGTTCCTCACCAAAAGGTTGGATTTTGTGGTGTAGTGTCTAATAGCACTGTTGTTCCCCACAACTCTTACATGCCTTAACACATCAGTAATACACTTCTATACAATATGTAGCTAACCAGGAAAATATAAATTGTTGCTTACAGTGAGGAGAGTATGTCTGGAATTGACCATGCAGAGGAAATGGAGCTGCTCTTGGAGAATTATTACAGACAAGCTGAAGATCTTTTAAATGAAGCTCGTGAACTCAGAGTACTGATTGACGACTCAGAAAGCATCATCTTTATCAACCTGGACAGGTCAGCTACCATCTGTTAGATTACCAAAAACTGACTGAAATTTAGACAAACTTGGCCTAGACTTTCTCAAATCTTACTACAAGGAAAGCTGAAGAATTCTGTCTTAGTGAGGGTTGAATGGACTTGTAGTCACAGCTGCAATGCACTTTTCTAACTGTGAAATGGATAAAGCAAAGCAAGAAGATAGCCTAATTAGTGTGTAATTAATATGTACCTCTGTAGCTAGGCATCAGTCTTCCCTAGCAGAGAAACCTAGCTTCTCCTAGACCCTTCAGGGGAGCTGTTCAATACAGGAAATGTCTGCAGATTGAGAGGCATATTAAAATGCTGTTCAGAAAAGATTACTAGCCAGAGTCTAGCTAGGTTACTCAGGTTTCCAGTACAAGTTAAATTGTTACCCTGTAGAGTGATACAAAAAGTAATAACTTGAGAGCAAGTTTTCTCAGTCTCTCTGTATGCTACATTTTTCACTTTTAGTCAGATTTCTTACAGAAGGAGTTCTAGCTTGCATTTCCAAGAACATGCCAGTCTGAGGTTGGTGTTTAATATTCTTTCTTCTCTACATTGAGGAGTTATTTGTAGAAGCACTTAGTGGATGCTGTATCAGGAAACCACAAAAGTCTTTTTGTGGAAGACTTGAATATGGAATTCACCCAAAAGGACTGAAGTTTGTAGTCTGCAGCATTTTTTTGTAAAATGTATTAATTTTCAAAGTAACAATGAATTTTTGTCCGTTGTGAATACAGACAGAAATTCCAGCCTGATGGTGGTGAGTGGTCACAACTTTGAGCAGAAATTTACTGTTACTCTGTAACAGTAAATTACTGTTACTCAGTTACTCTGAGAAGTGAGCCATGCTGGAAAGTCTGATGATGGTTAAGCAGAACCTGCTGCCTTTAGAGGTGTCCAGATATACCAATGTCAAAATGATAGTCTTTTTGTACTGTTGTTTCATGATCTTTGCAACTGGGTTACCTAATTTCAGCGTGACTTCCTCTCTCACTATTTGCTTTTAGTGCATGCTATATGGAATTTAAGAATTTAGGCAGCAAATAAATTTTTGGGTTCCCCTTACAGATGTTTCTCCCTTCTTTAGCCACCGTAATGTGATGATGAGGCTGAACTTGCAGCTGACCATGGGGACTTTCTCCTTCTCTCTCTTTGGACTCCTAGGAGTTGCTTTTGGTATGAACTTGGAGTCATCTCTTGAAGAGGTAAGGAAGTCCTGTGTTTATCATAAAATGGGGGTCCTGCTCTTACAGCTTATTTCATATTTGGTACAGCCTGATTCTTTCCAGTGATTTATATGTTCATACAGTCACTTCCTTTGTAAGCAAATTACAGCATAGCAAACTGCACAGTATTGCAGCCTTTTTCCTGTGTCATGTCCATGGAAAAGAAAGGGGAAGACAAATTTTTGGTTGTATAAGTAGTTGATTATAAAGTAGTATTAAAGTTTCTTTAATGAACATCTATTCTGACAAGAGCAGCTTTGTCTTCCAGATACAAGGGTATCAGTCAAGCAGCCAGTGCATTTCCAGCACATCAGAGGAAGCAATTTACTGTCAGTTATTATTTGTACCTAAACTGGGGAGGAAGGAGTACAGGCTGGGGGGGTACAACTTTAAAACTGCACATGCCACCTTTAAAACAGACATAGAAAGCAAAGACTTCTTCCTTTTCAAATCAGCTCAATATAAGGGTTGAATTTTCAAACTTCCCAATGAAGGAAGGAAAACTGCATGGAACAGTAACAGTATGTAGTAGAGTTATCCTAAATAAAATGCTTTGCTGTGAAACAGCCCTTTTCCCAAGGGAGGGCTTTGCTGTTGATGGTGAAGAGTTTACTGCTTCCTCCCATAAAGGAAGAAAACTGGAGGGGAATGAGAGATTATCTTTGGGTAATCCCTTTTCTGGAGAGATAGTTGGATGTCTAATGGGAGTGTTCTGTCGGTAGGACCCCAGGATATTTTGGTTGGTGACAGGGATTATGTTTCTGGGAAGTGGTCTGATCTGGCGGCGCTTACTTTCCTTCCTTGGGCGGCACCTGGATCCTCCACTGCCTCCTCACGTATGTATGGCTGGCTGGGGCTCCTGCCTCACACTCTGTGTCTACAGTCCATTCCTAAGGCAGAAAATAAGATGGCTTAGAGGGGCTGGCCACAAAGCATGGCAAAATTCAGCTCAGGTTCTGCTCCATGGCAGAGATGGTGCTCCCTAGCTGGATTGAAGGAGGTGGGGAGCCACAGCACTGGGCAGAAGTGAAGCTGCAGTCTGTTCCATGAAAAGTGCTGTATTTACTTTCACCTGGAGCCCAAGGAAAGCTGAGGCTAATGGTAGAGGTAATCCTCATCCTCCCACCTACATACTAACTCTAAGAGATCCATAGTCCCTGTCTTGTATAAGAATAAGCAGAGCTAAAAGGATGATGAGGAAAAGCACTATCTGTAACATCACTCTGGAGAATGATGTCGTAGTTGTGGTGTCCTGACTCTCAGTCTGAAGTTTGTAATAGTTTCTCATAAGCACACCAGTTATCTTTGTCATTGATGGCACCAAGCTGTAGGAAGATTTCCGAAGAGACCATGTTCAGATTAGCATGTATGGTCATTTTCCCTATTGACTGTCTTTTCCTGGACTTGCAGAACTGTATTGTCTACCTCATCTTTGCACTGTAATATTTATAGCAGAAGCAGCAGTAGAGTCAAAAGTTAAGTTGCTAAGAGTGACAGAGGGAGCCTCAGATAAACTCCCCGTCTTCCCTCTCCTCTTTTGCTACTAAGAGGCAGATAGAAGTAGTTTGTTGTGGATTGTTGACTGTGGCTACAATTAACTAGAATATCCTGAAGTGTAGCTCAAAACCAAGTCCAGCACATACTGACTGACTTGGAGAGAAAGATACTGGAAGGTATTAGGGAGGGAGAAGCCAAAAACATTCTTCTGAAAATAAGGGTAGCAAAATCAGGGTTCAGGCTTCTGTGGGGCCTTATTTCCTTCTGTCACATGTAGAGCAGCTTCTCATGTAATCACAAGCTCTTTTGCTTCTTGTCTAGGTTCCTGCAGTTTTGAAAAAATCCCAACCAGCAGCTGGAAGAGTGGAGATAAAGACCAGCCTTAAAGGAGATACATTTGGGCTGAGCAGAAGCACCTTAACAAACCAGTAGGAACAGCAGGAAAGAAGAGACTTTTATTGTTACAGGGTGGACTTTGGACACTTTCCTTGTATTTGTTCTTCCTTACTGAAAACTGCAAGAATTTCTAAACTTGCTAATTTAATCTATATTTTGTGCCAAAAACCTACAATGAAATTTTTAATGCTCACGCACATAAGGAGAGAAACACAAGGGAAAATAGCAAAATGCTTTCTACAGTAGTTTCACTTCCACCCCATGTATGTGCCTTTAGTTTTCTGTATCACATACATGTACTTACTTTTTGGGCATTCTCATTTTTAGTGTTTCTGTCAAATACTGCTTTGCTTAATGGCATTTCTTACAGAGAACAGAATTTTTGGTTTAAAGAAGGACAGCAGTCAGCATTGATCAGTAATTCTGGTTCTGAACTGCAGATTTAGGAATCTGACTTCAAAGAAAAATCCACCCCAAGAGTGCCTTCTTGAATGGATTTTTAAGGCCCTGTTTAATGAGAAGAGGTTTTCCAAAGCAGAAAGCATACCTGCATCTCTGGTGAAACATGACTTCTAGATTGTCAGCAATGAGAAAGAAGGAGCAATAAAAGGCTTTAGAAATGTAGGTGCTAATCCTGTATATTCCTTAACAATTAATTTAGGCCCAAAACAGCAGTTCTAGGAACAGGGCAAGTGGGCTTATGGATGATGCCCACTTGCATTTTCCTTCAGATGCTATTTCAACACACATGGATACAGCTGCAGTTTAACAACTCCTTGTGTTGCCATAATTCAAATTCTGCTAAAAATCAACAAACAGGTTGTTGATTTTTCTTAAGGTGGGCTCTGCTTTCTCTCTTCCCTCCAAGACAAAGGATGGACTAGCCTGCACTACAGTAAGTAGCCAGGTTAGTTAAAGGTGTGGAAGCCTGGTGTCCTGTGATATGCTGAAGGAAGGAGTAAAAGCCTTACGCCAACTATTTCTGTTTGTTCTTAGGACTTCTCTTTAAGGGTGTAGCTCTCCACTGGTTTCTCTCAGGTTGCAGAGTGAGCATGAAATGTGTCTAAATCATGTCACGCGCTGTCCATTTCCTCTTTGGGATTTTTTTAATCTGTGACACAGTGAGCAGCTCCTTAGTTGCCACCACATAATCATTGTACTGGCAGGGGTTGTAAGACAGTAGCTGTAGCTGTGAACATTCTTCTCAGGACTAATGAGTCAAAGATGGAAATAAAAAGGTTCATAAATTAAAGTTGTCCAGGCCTGTGATTCTGGTTTGGTTAAAGTCAGATGTACATGTTATTTTCCAACAGTTCTGTACATGGCTTTAAGTACAGATACTAGTGGCATGAGAAGGTGAGAAAGATAATGGGACTTGTAACACTTCTGAGTTTTTTAGCTGTGGTTATTTGCAGCCTTTAAGCTTAGCAGGTAAAGTAGTAAAAGATCTCCAAACTGAACAATCCAATGGAAAAAAAAAGGCTCACATACCTCGACTGATAAGCCCCAGAAATCTCAGCATGTGAAGGCAGATGGATGCTGATGTTTCCAAATGAGCTGTAGTTGCTTTAGGCCAGAACTGATATGTGTTGGTGCAGCTGTTTGGGAAGCTTCTTTGTAAATTTTTTGCAGGGAGGCTTCTGTGAATTCATTTTGACTCTTTACCTGTACATAACTGACTCAAAGCACAATAAAAACATGGAGCGAAAGACATGTCTTCTACAAGACTCCTTTTTATCTTGATAGACATATGCAAATGTTTAAAGTTTTTGTTACAATTCAAGTAATCAAAATGCAGTCAAGTGCAATAAGATTACGTGGAGGTCACACATAGAAAAAACAAAAGCCAGTGGAGAGTGTATGTTCAGAATGGGATTGATACAGATTATACTGGTTTTGTAAATTTTGATTTGAAGAGAAAACCTTTATTATGCCCTTAAAAGCACACATATTTTGCCTCATACCGCAGTTAACATATTTGAAATGCACGTACTGCAATTCCAGTTGTATCCAGTTACTTCTTCCATGAAATTCAGATTTAACTTCTTTTTTAAACTCTTCTCTTATTTGGGCAAGTCCTCAAAGTAGATACCAGAATGCATTGTACATCAAACTAATGTTCACCTTGCCTTTTTTGATTTGTTTAAAACAACATCCTTGAGAGAGAATTCCTAGGAAGGTAAGTTGAGGTCTTTAATTTTGGAATATGACCTTTAGAATTCTGTGCAATTTTATTTAAAATAAAAATAATGCTTTGCCTTTGTGAAGGAGGCAAGAGAGAGAAAACACACATATATGTCTACAGACTAGCATTGGCAAATAAGAGTATCAACACATTCTGCTGCTCAAGTTGTTTAATGATAATTGATGCACACTGTTAAACCTGCATCATACAAAATTAGTGTTAATTAGTTAAAGACAATACTGTTAACAATAAGAGCCATTAACAACCCTATGTTATCATGGTCATGGAATTTTCCACAAAAGCAGAAATGATGTCAGAGTAATCAGCAAAACTGCAGAAGCATTTCCTAAAGTCTTGCTTGTTCTTTTTCCCTGGGACATCCAAGCTGTGCTACGCCCTCAATGCAGGCCTCAAGACTTTAGAGAGAGGAGAGAGAGTCCTGTTGATCAGCACCCACCTTTCTGTTAGTCTTAGAGCTGCCCCTGCTCCATGCTTATTATTTTGACAGTAACTTTCCAAAATTCAGAATCCTTATCTTTACCACAGTATGTAAGGAATTGTAAATCCTGTGCTGCAGTTTCCCAGTTTTGTCAAGAAGATACTCAAATCTGGCCTGTAAAGAGAGTGGCCTCTGAACATTCCTTATACAGCCAAATGCTACTACTAAAAATGCAGCTGCCTGCTCATTTCAACCTATGAAAGGTTTTCAGACCAGATTGCTTTTTCTAGATAAACAATGCTGCTGCCCACCACAGAATTCTGCAAAAGCTTGCTGGCACAGTATGTTGGTTTGTGTGGATTCAGGAAAGTAGCACAAGAACTACAGCGATTCTTCACTAGAACCAGGTGTGCCCTGGTCTTTAAGCTACTGTGAACTTTTAGAGCGAGTAGACAAAAAGCCTTCCACCAAGTCGAGCTTTTGCAGAACTTCTCTCTGCTGCCACTACAACTTCTTTCTGCAGGGATAAAGAGCAAAGGTTAGCAAAATGCAGGTGTATGGCTGCTTTGAACTTCCCTTGTGGATTTTGACCATCTCATTAGTGTAATATAGAAATGTGATGGGAAGTGAGAGAGCAGGCCATCATCAGCAACCTCATCAGAATAGCAGTTAGGAAAATAGTTGGCAAACAGACTGTCTCTTTTGGGGAGCTGGAGCAAGCTGGAACAAAATGAAATGAGTCTCTTGTCTATATAAACCACTTCTCAGGGCTAAGATAGGGATGAAGCAGGAGAATGGACTAGATGGTGCTATAGCAACAGTACACAACTGCTTGGAGAATGGCCTCACTTGCACTTAGCAGTGCCTGTGTTTTAGGTGTTAGATTATGCACCCTAATCTATCTGAGAAGAATTTCCAGTTATTTCTCCATTGCATGTTTTAACACAAGGTGTCAAACACCATTTGTTGAAGACTTCAGCCTGGTGCTGAGGCTTTCTATGTACTCACACAGAAAACCCCACTTCTCATGGAAGTGATGTTAGAGTGAACAGAATATTTGAACTCAGATGAACAATCACTAAGTAACCTTCCATCTGAAACAAAGGCTCCTCAGTGCATCATACAATCACAATTAGTGTTTGGTAAAAAAATGGGCATCTGAGGGAAGCACAGAGAAACAGGTACACAGACACATCTAAATCAGTCAGGTGGGAGTTGGACCTCTGTGCTTAGAAGACTGAGTTCACTGCAGATGATAGCCAGGACAGCAAGCCTGTAAAGACTAAACGAGAGGGATGGTTTTGGGTGCCTGGTTTCCTCCACAGCTAAGCATCCTCTGCATACAGGTTGGTATGAACAGTAAAGCCAGGAGGTGCATATGCTGCATTTCCTATGGAACCTTTCAGCAAACTCCTAGGTAGATTAGAATTCAGGCTGCTTTAAAGTGATTCAAATTTTTTAATTTAGGTGTCAAAATTTTGGCAACCCCTAGCTCATCAGTCTATAAAATGGATCTAATTATCAGTTCAGAGAGTGACTTAATTATATAAAGAACTTAAGACTTGAAAATGTGTAAGATACATGTCAGGTGTTAGCTAGTATATGCACGTGAGGTAGAAGAATGTCATGAAACAACCAACCACAGTAATTATTCCTCACCTTTCTTTCAGATTTCACAGTGGTAACAGAACTCCCAAATCTTGATAGTTCCTGTAAAATAACATTGTTGGTTATAATGCTGCTAGGTTTTTTAAGTCGGACTTTATAGTTTCTTGCAGAACTCTATAGTTCTCTCAACTGAGTAGTTTGTTTTCTGGTTACTTACCTCAGGAGAAATCAGGACATACTGTGCCTAAAGAAGAAAAAAAAGAAAAAAAAAAGAAATAAAAAGTCAGTGGAAGAGAGTAGACCAGTATGATATCCCTGGCTCCTAAAGAGCAAAGTAATTTAAGAATAAACAGGAGGAACCAAATTGCAGGACTCAGAAACCTGAGAAAACCTTGTTTTCTTGAACTACTTGGTATTGTACTGGATTCTACACTTGGTGTTTGTACTGGATGTAATTAATTAATTGTCATTCTAAACTTACGTCCAGAATTCACTTTCATCTATTCTTACCCAGGCCTCAGGACAGGGAGATGTCCATGATGTGCAGTGGCCTGTCACATTCCCTGAGGATGCCTGTCTGCCATTGAAGATATAAACACGGCCAGCAGCCCCACCAGACAGGATTGAGGTGATACTGTTAGTTCGCAGTGGGGATGCCACAATCATTTCATCTGGACATATTACAAAGAGGACATAACACAGCAGAAGTCAATTAATGGTATACCAAAACACAGGAGAACTGCAATTTACATGCCTCTAGATGCCACAATTCCTATTAATGATAGCAACTAAAATGTTTTAATTTCTGATTGAGTTGCTTGGGATTTCAGAGAGGCCTCCCTGTAAGGCACAATGGAATACTGGTACAATTCAATTGAGAAAGCAGACTGTGTTTAGCACTCTTATGAATATATAGGTGACCAATTTTCCTGTTGCCAGAAGTTGAACACTTCACTACAAGATTAATCAAGCTTTACCTAGCCCATCACTATCCAGATCACTTAAGTATATGTCTCCTCCAAAACGAGAAAACCTCCTGTCCCCACTGAATGTGCTGAGCAGAGAAGGCTTGGTGCTGTTTGACAGGTCATATACCAGAGCCAGTCCAGCTTGATGCAGCACTGAGGACATAAATAAAATCCTAGACAGGCTGTCTGGAAAAAAAACCCAAAGAAACAGATGTTGAGCATCAGACACAGGAACTCGGGTTTAATACTTAAAATTATAAGTAATACTGGCATTACATAAAAGGGACAAAGTTAATATAATGTATCAAATAGCATCTAAAATTATATGGGATTAACACTAAATAGCATAGGAAAAAAAATATTTTGGTCATAGTACCAGGGGAGAAATGCATTCAAATTGGACTTCTGCAATTTAGCATCCTCAATTCCTTGCTGCCTACTGCCAGAGCGAGGACAAAATACTGTGTTGTTTCAACTCTGAGAAATATGCAGTGTAATAGAAAATCACTGTTACATAAACAGTGTAAAGAAGTAATGCTGTTTAACCCATTTTAAGGAAGGAAAAGACCCATTGAAGCTGAGGCACAGTAGAGAGGACTCTACATATAAGGCATATACAGGTGATTACAGTGATTTCTATTTATTTTTTTTTTTAATTACATGGCAATTTAAAAGTCCCTTTTCCCTTAAACATTGTATCTCTCCTCAAGTCATGCAGAAACAAACAACCTAAAGCAGAAATGGTCTCAATTTTTCAGGACATACCTGCAGTAGGTGCACCCACCACCAAAACTTTTCTTGTGTTCCCGTCCACAGAGAGCACACCACTGGCCAGAGACAAACCCATTCTGCCCATGTCCTGTTAGATTTTTAAAACACCTATGTAATTTCTACAGAATGTCACTTTTACTTCAAATTATTCACAAGGTCCCATACTAAAGAAGCAGCCCTACCTTGTCTCCAGTTATCTCAAACCAGCGCTCTGTACTTGGTGGGTTATACCCATACACCTTCCCAACACTCTGTCTGACATCCAGCAAGAGGGGATTGCAGCTTGAATTATAATGCAAAATAAATTTGTATGTAACAACATATTGTACACAGTCTCCTCTTTTACTTTGGAATAATAGTGCCAGACAAATTCTAGAAATCTACTTTAGTAATTCCCATACTTGTTCTAATTGCATAATACTTAGCACAGATGTGGTCTGTTTATCCAATTTTTTACCATCCAATACATCTTCATGTTTAATTTGCTTTTAAAAATGCAATCTCAAAGTAAGAGCTATTCATATGGTTATTTAAGGCATACTTACCCATCAGCATTTTTGTGACCCTTCTGCCTACCCAAGGAAACTTAAGAAATTCTTAGGTATCTTTAAATAAGAAAGGCCTGCCCTAGAGAGGGTCTAAAACCCCCTGTCTTCATAAGGAAGGGTGAAGACATAAAAATATTAATTTAATAAAAGTATTCTTAGCAGAATGAAAAGGAAACTTTCTAAAAAGCTGGAAGTCTAATCTATTGCAAATCTTAAACCTTGCAGAAGTAGAGCAGAGTGGAGAAAACTGCAAGCTGTCACATGCAACACACCTAGAACAAGTCTTCCATGTAGGGCTACCAATCAGCAGTAATTTCACATCGTCCAGCTGGCAGCTGGCAAGAGAAAATCCAAACCAAGCGTAGTTTTCTTCCCCCTCTACCATCCAGTTGGCATCCTGTACTGACAGAAGTCCTGAGAGACCAGAGGAAAAAGAAAGAGTTAAATCTTGGTGTGCCCTGACATTGAAAAACCCGTTTGTAATCTTCCACTGATTCTATGATAACAAATTTCTCTGTGCAATGTTACACTGTCCATGACATGGCATCAGTTGTTGACTTTGCTCACTCACCCTGCAGCTCTACTGGCTGGTGAAAGCTTTCATTTGACACAGCCTGTTTCTCAATCCTTCCAATAGCCTATATGAAGTACATGAAAGCTACTACTTGAGCCTGTCCTAAACTACTTACTGTTTACCAGAACTTATATTTCTTCACAGGTGCTGGGTGGGAGAGCTTCAAATCATTCTGGCTATAGTTTAAATAACTCATTCTGTGCTTTGGTTTTACAAAAATGTCAACAGTGTTGTGAAACTGATGTTCTTGTGGTTTCTAATTTTACATGAATTGCAATAAGCTGCAACAATTAAGCATTGTTGCAAATCACAATTACATGATTTTGACAAAGCTGCCCGAGCTTTATTATTTAGTTCCATATATGACATTTCCTCCCTCATTCACTAGAAACCTCATCATGTGTACTCATTATCTGTATTCACTTGTAGCATTCCTCTTTAGCCACATGAAAGAATGAACAGAATGGTAAAGATTCATTTGTTGAGGTTCATTTGCAATTTTCCAAGAGCCTATCCTAGACTCACAATACATAGTTGAATCCATTCCTTTAGCAAGGTTTCCAACACAGTTTCCCACATTGTTCTTGCATCCAAGCTGGAACATTGCAGTCTGGATGGACAGAAAACCAGATGGGAAAAAACCTGGTTGAGATGATACCTCTGACAAGAGTAGAGAACCAGTGTTGCTCTGGTTCTCCCAACTAGAGGAGTGTCTTAGGGATCAATTTTTTAACTCATCCTGTTGGACACTTTATTATATATTATCTAGCCAAGGCAACAAGACACCCTTTTGTGAATCTGGCAGATAACAGGAGATTTCAGGGGGTGGTCCCATTCAGAGGCACCCAGGCAGGTTGGAGTAACAGGCTGACAGGAACCTCACAAAATTCAGTGAGGATGAATGCAAAGCCTGATGCTGGGAAAGGAGATGTTCTTGCACTGATACAGCTGGGGACAGACTGGCTGAGGAGCTGCCAAATGGAAAAGGCCCTGGAGATACTAGGGAGAATCTAGAGCTGAGAGTGAGGCTCTGACAGCAGAAAGCCAACAGTGCCTCAGACTATGTAAGCAGGAGCATGGCAGAGATTGAGAGAAGTGATTGTTCCCTAGATCACACCTACAATAGGTTGTTCCCTAACAGGAAGGATGTTGACAAACTGGAGCAAGTTTAGTTCCCATGCTTTCCGTGCCTATAAGGTCACTATGCAAGGTGGGAGGACAATAGACAATGAATGTAAACTGAAACAAGAGATTTTTTTTTCCCTATGAGGACTGCCAAGAAGTAGAACAGCTGCCCAGAGTGGCTGTACAATTTATATCACTGGAAGTTTTAAGATGCAACTGGACAAAGACAATTTGGTCTGGCTTCACAGCTTATTGAGTAGGAGAGACAACCTCTGAGAGCGTGTCAGACCTGAATTATGCTGTGATTAATTAGGAACAAATAACCAGTCACATCAACTATAGGAGGGTTAATTTACTCAACAAATATTACCTTGGTCACTCCTGTTGAAATGAGAGTAAAATGCAACCACAAATCCTCTCTGCTTTCCACCACCGGGTGCATATGGAGAGCCCACAACCAGATCAGCATTTCCATTCCCATCAACATCAGCTGCCAGGAGGGACCAACCAAGATTACAGTAGGAATACTGCAATAAACAGTTAGTTTAAGCCTGAAATAGGACTGAAACCTTCAATTCTGTAGCAAAATAGAGCAACTTAATTCTAAAGAGCTAACTTTGCTTCTGACTGAATTACCCTCCCACTCCCTGGCTTCAATTTTGTTTTCTTTTGTTTTTTGTTTGGTTTGGGATGTGTTTTTTTGGTGGCTTTTTTTGATTTTGAGGGCTATGCACCTTTCTATTCATCCTGCTGCCTTACTGCACTGAGGTATAAATGTCTTTCCCAAATACAATCAATCTAAGCAAGCACCTGCTTGCTCCATCCATCCATCCATCAATCTAAATTTCTTTGCAATAATAAGTTGAATTTTAACATTGTTTTTTAAACCTATAAGGTCTTTTCCCATTTTTCTCACCTCCTGCCTCTGTAGCCCTGTGTTAGCCTGGCTAACAGGATAGTATAAACAGGACATTACATTATTAATATACCTGACAAGTTATGGTAATGTTTGGCTGAGGTGCCAAGCCTCTTCCCGCAGTTCCAAAGTAGACATACACAGCACCCTAAACAGCAGAAAAAGAAAATAAGGCATGAGAGCACCTGCATGTCAGTACCAAGTATTAAATCTAAGGCAAATCACAAGGAGTGGAACACCTCTGCAAGGGCTATTCATACAACTTCATTTTCCCCTCTAAGAGCCTTCCCACACCACTTACTTTCCCACCCTAAACCTAAGAATATCTATGGGTAATGGTTACTGCTGTAACCAAGCAACAAAGTAGAGAAGTACATTTTCATCATGCTGTGTGTAAGGAACAAGGGCAGTATAGTCTATGTTTATACTCATAATACACATGTTCAGATGGCTCAAATTTTGATAATTATTATTTAATGTGATGGCAAACAGTCCCAGGCACATACAACAGATGTACACAAATTTCCAAGTGATGAGTCTAAATAAAAGCAACTTAAATTCTTATTTAAACAGCTAAATTAGTATCTAAAAATCTGGAATTTTAAGCTTAATGGATATTGTTTAAATCAAAACATTTTACCTCTCAGTTTGCATGGCCTAAAAATACTCAGGGACCATTATACAGGCTTATCAGGTAAGCTGTAAGTCATTAAGCCTCTGTAACTTGATTATTTTAGCAAGTGTGTCTGTGTTCATATCACATTTTAAATATAATTTGTTGGCCTTGTGACAACATATGACAAAACTCATTGACTCATAAGGTCCATTCCAGACTCTCTGTTCCTAAACAAAAAGAGTACATTTGTATTTCATGAATGGCCCCTTACATTTTCAGCATGTCAATGCTACTAAGTTGCAATCTGGTTTGGATTTCTAATGTGCAAAAAGGCCACTGAAAGAGAAATACAGGTAGCTATCATTGCTCTAGTCAAAGTACACACAAAGGTCACAAACTTCTGTTTAAATTACAATGTCACCATGAGCAACAACAGAAATGCTCTTTTTCATTTCGATGTTAAAAAAAAAAATGTGTCAATAAAAACATTCAGTTTGGAGAGTTAAAAAAAACCAACAAAAATGTTTATAGCTTACTTTGTAAGTAAGAAACTGAGATCCCACAGAAGGTGCTCCAATTGCCAGATCTGGCACTCCATCCTCATTGAAGTCCAGGACTGCCAAGGCAGAACCAAATCTTCCTGAAGGCTAAAAGAAAAAGAATTTCTCTCATGTTTTCAAGTCGAAACCATGAAAACCAAATGTACATTTGCGCAGTGAAGACTGGAAAGAGATGACAGAAGTCTATCCAAACAATTATTTTTCTTCTAACTAATAACCCCCATGACAACACACTAATTCAAAGTCAACTGTGTTAAAATGAAGGACAATTGAATATAATATGGTGCTGCATTGCTATTTCCTCTATCTTCCTTTGCTATTTCCTCTTCTGACTCCAGTGCACCACTGATGTTAAGTTTATGGTCTTTCCTGTTGACAGCATGACTGGGAACCACCAAAACACTCTGTAAAAAGACAGTAGCTGTTACTCCACAGTTTATTATCACTGAAACAAATTAAAAGGAAGTGTATCTCATTTCTCCCTCTTATCTCCTTTGTGAATAAAGGTATTTTCTACAGAGGATCATATTTAACATTCAAAAGGGTCATTTGCTCCTACTTCTTGGTTACAGACAGCCACCATCATGTCAAATCAGGGTTTTCTCTTTTTTATTATTTTTTAATACTCTTACTACAGAAAAAAATAGCTGGGGTGAAGTTATCAATTAATGAAGAAATGCAGCTCAAAGGAATTAAAACATATCAGATGAATAATTTTAGATTAAAAAGGACAGGCAGCACACTATTTTCTTAAATGCAGGGACGAATGAGCTATACTGTGACTTACAGAGATACAACCTGAGTTTCATTTAAGGGCACTTTATGGTCTAATGCTCACTTATCTGGTACAGTAATGGAAGAGAGCCTACAGATCACCATCACTTCAATTGTTTCTGGGACTTTGATAATGATTATTTTTCTTGAAAAGCATATGACAGCATATGAAATCAGGAGGAGTGTTCCAGGAATAATACTCATACACATTAATGGTACCACTCTTCATTCAAAATTCACCAATTTTCAGGAAAAAAATTATGTGACAAATATCTGCCTTCACCCCTTACTTGATGACCCTGTAGTACTTGGTCAGCTTTCCTGTCCAGATCCATGTCCTCTGGTGGCAAACCTGACTGGTTGCCATAGACCACATACACCCGTCCTATCTGAATATGGCCCATGGTGCTGTACCCTGGTGCTCCAGCCACCAGATCTTCATATCCATCCTGGTTTATGTCAGCTGAAATGAGTGCCCTGTACAGCAAGGGAGTCAACAAAATCAGCATTAGTTTCCAGACTACCACAACATTAGTGGAAAAAACCCGCATAATTCAAATAAACCAGGACCTGTGTTTCCCCATATTGTTTTGTAAAGATCTATACAGCATGTTTTATGTAATATATTTATTTGTGTTTTCTTGAATTAAGTAAAACCAGAAGAATCATCTTCCATCAATGTATCTGAGATCTGTAGGAACTGCTTTTTACTGACATTAGGCAACCTAAATGACAGCAAACAGAGAAAGGAGCATGAAAAAGGGCTGCTTGCATATGACAAAGAACACAAAAAAAAAAAGAAAAAAAAATATATTTTAAATTGAACATCTGATTTAATTGATGGACTTAACAGGAGATAAGGAAAAGGATCACAGGTCTTGGTGACATGCTGGAGTTTAGAGAGGGAGCATGGGAAGAACTAACTACTGTTAATTTCACCAGTATGAAGTAAACTCAAGAATTAAATCCAAATTTTGAGACAGAATAAGGGAAGTTAGATGAGCAGCAATGCAAATTTATTACTCTTCCCTGTTGCAGGTCAAGGTAGAACGTCATTGTCAAGGAGAGAGATTATGCCTCTCTCTGTTCTGAATCTATCTTTGAACTCCCTACTAGTTTAGAGTACTTCCAAGAAGTCTCACTAGACATCATCAGTCGTCAACTCATGACAGATGATTAATTTTGCACAAACATCATCCAACAACCAAACAAGGGTAGCAATGATCCTTTACTGTTCAGAACTAGAGCCAGTGTTAGTTCTAATGTTGGTTCTTTCCATTCAGAGCTTAATCAACATCTGAAAGAAAAATCTTATGTGTTAACTTGATGTTCTGGACATACGATATAAGCCTTTCCCTCAGATTGGTCCCACTAATTGATTTGTATTGTCACCTTTGAAAAGTATCCAAAGGACCAACAATAATATCTTGGTAGGTACTCAAAATTTTCAGAAATTAAGAAGAAGGGGGGATGAAAAAAATTACCAACCATCCAAGCCTGGCATAGGGTGAAGTCAGAAAATATGAAGCTACTGGCTTAGAGATGTGCTTAGAAGATTTCTGATGTGTAGCTTCTAGTGCTCTCCAGACATTGGTTTTAAAAGCATGGTTTATCAAGCGGAGAGATTTCTGAAATAAAAATAATAAAGGGACATGACAGTGGTTAAAAAACAAATTGAAACTCTAGAACATTTTGGGACACCTCAAAAATCAGGTCACCAACAGTGGAAATCAGCACATGGATTTAAGAAGAGTCTGACTCAGATCATAAGCACCATTTTAGAAAGCCAAAAATCTGTGTACTCTAAAGGGAGCGCTACTAATAATTCACTGTTATGCTTTTCTGGGAGTTCTTAACCAAAAAAAGCTATCATATGTCTGTAAAATGTAAATACTAAATATATATTTTGTTATTTTTGGCACTGCTGGGTGTGTTCTAACTTCACTATCTAATGAGCAAAGTTTAAAAATTGAATATTTATGATGTACAAATATAGATTAACAATGGTACTGAAATGTCCATGAAGTCAGCTACTGTTAACATCCAGAGACCCTGCTCCATCACATAGCATTTCAGACACAAATAAAACCAATTTTATATAGAGATGAATTTTACCTGACACATCTGTTACTTCTCACTTACTGTTGCCCAAGGCTGTAGGTTGAATTGAACTCCTCTCTCTGTATAGTTTATATTCTTCTCAAGTGTTTCTGTAAGCAAAGAAGTTGTATTCTTGTGATGTCCATGTTTTGATTGTTTGTTTCTGCTAAAATAAAGAAGGCAGTGATAAGAATCAATATAACTGAAATAATGACTCGAGGTAAAAGCCGCTCTTAGGTTCTGTACAGCTCCCTTATGCAAAACTTAGTTATTCATGCTAAAAGAATCTCAGATTCATACACAAAAAGATTACCCAAAGTATCTCTAATTTTTAGCAGCTCACTGTCCACATTAGAAGAAGACTCTCCTTTCATCACTGAGGCATTAAACCATCAGAACTATACTTACATGTGGCTCTCCTTGTTATCCTTTGTGCAGTTTATGAACAGGGGGTTCTCAGGCAGGTAGCAGTCACTAAAGAAAAATACACAGAATGCCCTTAAAGATTTTACCATAATGGAAGTGAAACTGAAAATTCAACTTTATCCTTACTGATTCTTCTGTTACAAGTCATCAGTTTTCTCAAGAAAATCAAAATCAGAGCACCATCATCACCCCTAGAAACCCCTATGATGTTTATTTGATGACCTTGATTAGGTTCTGTATGAATATCACATGTCTTTGCAGAGCTCTTGAAGGAAACTTACTGTAACATGCATGTGTGTGAATCTAAAGTGCTTTTAATGAAAGTGCCATTCTGGAACAAAGAATGTAACAGATTGTGCCATTCTGTATTTCAAACATAATTTTCCAAAATAGCAACAGTAATATTTTCTATATAAATGGATTGATTAATTGCTACTGTTGGTCTTCTAAAGGTTATTTGCAACAGAGTTGTACAAGGTTAAACTTCTATGAAAATATGAAATTGTGAGAAGTCTGCACTTAAACACCAGAATGTTTAACTAAACTCCTACTCTTTCTAATCCTATTTGCCTTCAGAGTCTGAAGGTAATGTCTGACTTCTCCTCAAAAAGGACATCTTTGTTGGCTGATGGCAGCAGCCAAAAGGTGCAGGCTCAGATTGCCAGTCCAGGCAGAACCTCAGGGCATGGCCATGCAATATTTAAGCAAACCCTTATGCATGTCTTAAAAAATGCCCCAGATTTTCCCTGCTAAGTATCATCTGAGCATGCCAGAGATGTGCCAGGGCAAAGGAGCCTGAACACAAAAAAAATACAAACTCAAGGACTGCGTAATCCTTGCGCACAGGTAAAAGGCAGACACGGAAATCCATCCCCTTGTTCAAGTGAGGATCTAAAGCTCAGCACCTCTTCCAAGAAAGATCCTGCCTTAAGAATGGTTAAGAGGGTGTCAGCATTTTACTACTGCATTTCACAGTTCAGGACACACTATACCTGGTTCCGTTCTCTAGCATATGGCTCGTCAGCTCAAAAATGTTGTTGCTCCAGAATGCCATGTCATCCACTCCTCCAAGGAAATATTCATTGAACTTTTCCACCAGAAATGAAGATTTACTAGCAAATGTTGGAAAAAGCTAAGAGACAGGCAACATACACAGTAAGATGGATCGCATCGTCTCCAGGTTACATGTTCATTTTTGTAAAGAAAACAGAAAACCAACCTTGCCAACAAGAAGCCTTTCTCCATGCCTGAAAAAAAAAATTAAAGAAACAGAATTAAAACTTGCTTAATTTAATACTTAATTATTTAAATAGTTCCTTTAAAAAGTCCTATATGGTAAACACTATGCAAGTCATTACATTTCCATGTTGGTTGCTAATAAATTTTTAAAGTTGTAAAGTAAAAAGTAACTATATAAACTTTATTGCTCTTAATTTTGAAGGATTCACAGTTTTTGTAAATGTTGTATGACTATTGGTAATTGATTGAAATACAGGATACAGCTAAGCTGTTCAGGATATTCAAAAGCAGACACTGCCAAATATCCAAAGTCTGTTTCAAATTATTCTTGGACCTGAAAGGATCAACATAAAGTGTAGATAAGGCATGTATCTAGAGACTCCTTTGGTGCATGATAATTATACCTCTAACTCACCATAGTGCAATGGTACTTGAAGACACAGCTGTTATCAAATAAATATGCATAAATACATTAAATGTATAAATTCATTAAATAGCCAAGATTCACCCTCTGTGGTGTAATAATTAATTTAGCAGTCATTAAGCAGACCAAATTTGAATCCTAGTCATTAAAAATATTCAGGTGTTCTGTGATTTTGGAGTCTAGGAGGGAGTCTTCATTGCTGGCATAAGATGTTTCAAATATAATTATCTTATTTCTCCAACTTACAAAAGCTCAGGCAGAGATATTCAACTTACAGTTCAAGAAACAGCAGATAAGTGCATTCAGTAATTGTGCTTTCAGTTATGATCTCTTTTCCATAAAATTCCTTATAGATAGCTGCTAGGTCTTTGACAGGTACATACCTAAAATCAAAAAGAATGTATTACAATAACAGACGTTCCACATCACCCAATAAAATATTGCAGTTCTTGTAATAACAACAGCCTATAAAATATTACAAATTTCAAAAGACTACATAGGGCCATGAAGATTTACAAATACCAGAATTGCACATGCACTTGTGAGGGGAAATAAAAAAAAAAAGTGGATATCTAAATAATCTGCTCATTTTCATGCATTTAAAACTGTCTGAATTCAACATCCTCAACTTCCAAAACTTTAAATAAATCTCATTGAGATTGCCACTTAACTGAGTTATTTACCTAGCTGCTAGGACATTTCAGAAAAAGGTTTTCAGTAGTTATTTTATATATAACTACTTATAACTTGAAAAATAAATAATTTAATCCTTTTTGATGTGTTCCTATACATAAACTCTCCTCTGTCCTTCCAGTTTTTCATGTCAGGGAACAGTAAATATGCATATAAGGAATACCAAACTCATAACATTTAAAATAGTTGCAAAGATTTCTTTTGAAAGAAAAATAAAGGACAGCATTCTGGTTAAACAGATTAATACAGAATGATATGATATGATATGATATGATATGATATGATATGATATGATATGATATGCCATTTTATTATATATTATACAAAAATAAACATTAAATATTAAAGAAGACAACCTCATTATCTTACCAACGTGATGCCAGATAACTGAAGTCCAGCTCAAATTGACTCACTACATCTCCTCCTGAGGATGAAAGAATGAAAAAAACCCACATAGCCCAACAAACAAAACCTGTTAAATATGTGTCATGGGTATCAGTGTATATGAAACTATGTATGGCTCTTCTATATGGATTTATATGGCAGATCTTCCAGGTATATATTTAGAACACACAAATGGTTCACCTGAAAGTATGTTACACATTTTAAACCTACAGAGAATAATGTACAATTTAAAATCACAGTAGTGACACTATCCAAATCTTAGCATCCTCTGGTCTGCCTTTTGGCTTTAATCCAAGTGTTCATATGCCTTATCACATCTCTTGAAAGCTGAGGACAGGTACAGCAGGGCTTTGCAAGCCATGGGGGAGGGCAAGAATACAGTGTCCATAATTCATTCTTAACTCCTGCATTGCACAGTTCAAGAGGCAGAATCTACCACCATGGTTTTGAAGAGGACTAGTTATTCCAATACAAGGATCTATGATTGGCAAACAGAAACTTTACCAAAATCTCCAACACTGTGAGCTTCTGAGTAAGAGCCATGAAAATCAATCTGGAGAAAGAGAAAAACAAGAGAACTGCCTGTTTCTTTTAATATGAGCAGAAACAAACTCCAAGCAACACTAATTTTTACAGGTCCCAAACATGACAAACTTCACTCTTACAAAGTTTGTGACAGTGTGTCTCTCCAAAAATCTTCCTGAAACAGGCTCCAGCTTTTCTCTTTCCTCCCCACCACCACAGTCCAAAGCAAAGATATCCATTCCAATAAATCCAGTTGTATCAATAAATAAAATAATACAGGCTTACCTCTCCCATGGCCTTTAGAAATCCTTGGTCGATTCCCAGGCTATGCCAGCTAACATCTGCCACCATATGTGAAGCAATTCCAAACAGGAAAGCCACCAGCTTCTCTGTAGTCTACACAACAACAATTCATTTGTCTGTCATTTTACTCCTTTTTAAGAAAATGTTAACATTTTCTGTATGTGCATTATACAAGGATAAAGGTGAGAAGCTCTTACAGTCCAAGAGTTTACCAGGACAAAGTGCTGACCACTCATTGCTTGATGCTGTGCTCAACTTTTGTAACTTGAGAAGATTTAAGCAGTTTATACAGTCCAGAGCCATAGAATTACAGGGCTGATGTGAGGGTAATTTGCATACTTCAAGTTTAATATGTACTAAACTGTTTTTCTGGACCAAGGATAAACACTTCCAAGGATTGAACTCCCTCTTCTACCACGCTTGTTGTGTAGGCAGACAGAGGAGAGAAATTCATTCCACTGCATGCCCACTTTTGACAAATTGTTTTTCCTTTCCTCCTACATAGCTCACGGACCATTAACAAGAGCAAATCTGAACTAAATTTAAGTGAGGACTTGAGTCAAGTGGACTAAGGACAAGTGAGAAGACTAAAAGGTATCTGGTTTTCAAATGGCAAGCCTTCAACCAGATCTCATAGGAAAGCAAGATCACCAATCATATTTAAAAGTTTAAAAGTTTATGTGTCATAAACACCAGACCACAGTGGAGATGACTGACAGACTTAATATGGAAACTGTAAATTTTTTGTATGGTAAAGATTAAAACAGGATTTCAAGTGTTCCTATATAAGCAGAGACTAATATAAAAATGTTGGGTTTTCTCTACACCTCACAAAGGATGAAATTACAACAAGTGAAAGTGAAGAAAACAGTTGAAAATAAAGTAAATCAAGCAAAAGTTAAACAATTTTCTTACCTCTTCCCAAGGCTGAGGATAATTCCTTCTTATGTAGTCAATACTTGCTTTGAGAAATGGTGACCAGTGGGTGTCTTCAGACACATCATGGAACATTCCTATTGCAATAAAATATATATCAATATTTGATTTATTCTTTGTGGAAAAATGAAACAGAAAAAGAAAAATAAAGGGTTTTGTCCATTAAAAACCCCACAGATTTTGTTAAATTTTGTGTCTGAGAGATGATACATTTTTCACTCCAGCTGATGAAAGGAGCCAAAAGAGTCTTATTTGATTTATACTATCAAAATAGATGCTAGATTTACCTTCTATGATTTTGGTTTAAAGCATCTGAAAATTTTGTGCCTGCTCCTTTTCTCTGTGCCTGTGACTAGGTACAATACAATGAAAAGCTGCCTCCCAAGCAGAGGGGATAAAGAGAGCTGACAGACAACCTGTTGACTAAATTAATGCATCCACTTTTATGTCAGAAAAGCTGTAGGAAATGGCAGCCAACTCAAAATGTCATGTCCAGTTTCCACTGGGCAGAGGAGGGCTATTTTCAACATTTTCAACAGAAAGGCAAACTAGCCAAGATACAGTCAGTGTAGGAGGAGAGGAAAAAAGGCAGGAAAGCAGGAAAAATCAGGTTTCATTTGAAGAACCAATTACAACCTGACTTTAGGCAGAAAAGATTGTGTATGATCTAACTGTGACTTTAAAAATTTCTGTGTACCTACAAAAAGCTAAGTGCAAAGGGATGTTGACATAAAGAGAATTAAGCAGCATGCAATGTTAAATTCTCTAAGGGGGAAGAAGGTAGGCAGGAGATTATTCAGACCATCAGTACTCTTGGAGGAAGAGTGCATGTTGGTTGACACAGCAGTGTGAAACTCCACAATGTTAAGGCAGATTAAACACCGAGAGAGCAGACCTTGGGGTTAATTCAGTCACCTTGGCCTTTCTTGACATTTTACAATGCAGCTAAACTAGATAAAAGAAGGATGGTACTTGCTTGGCCAAAGTCAGAATAGCCTTCCACGTCTAAGCTTGTTTCCTGCCCAAAGAGGCAGTCTGGATGTCTTTGTTCTTAATCTTGTCATGCTCAGTTAAAACAGCTCAGGTCTGAAGAGGTACCTATTTCTTCCATACTGACTAAGGAGACTGCTGACAAGTGGTCCAAGTCTAACAAGGCAAGATGGACTCCAATGTTAGTTCATTCATGAAGGAATTAAGATTGGATACTGCAGATAGAAAAGCTTTGACCCGGTATAAGACAGGTCAAAATGGTTAGAAGGGAAAGACGAAATAGATAGATAGATAGATAGATAGATAGATAGATAGATAGATAGATAGATAGACATAACCAAGGTGAAAGTAGGAACTGAAAAAAAATCCCAGGAGAACATCAGTCATGAAAACAAGGAAAGCAAGACTGAAATTTGGCACAAGAAGTTGGGAGAGCCAGGCAGAAAACCGAGACCAGTGACCCAATGAGTGACAGAAGACAAAACCAGTATTAAATTCTGGAACAGGGAGGTCATCCGGAAGTGAACCGAGCACATCAGAAAACCAAGCAGCCTGTAGCTGGCATAACCAACAGGCAGCATCAACAACCTCTGTCTATGAAAAATGAGAACTTTGGCAGCAATTGTGTGATTTGGTGTTGCCCTGAAAATTCAGTTTTTTGATCTTGTTGACATAGTTTCTAAAAACTTTCCCAGGACAGTGACTGTAAACATAGATATGTATACATTCTTTCTGATACACGTCTTTTGATGGACATCTTGCACAACCAATGTGATTGGAAAGGTGGTAACCTAACTATCCAATCCCTGGTCATTGCCAAGAATCTATAAATACTGAAGTTGTAAGAATAAAACCAGTTTTTTCCCTGTTATATGGGAGCCGTGTCTGTGTGAGTCATTGCATGTCCTACAGCGACAATTTAGCTCTAAACCAAATATCCTAAGTACACCTCAAATTTAATGGAATTTGCATGGCCCACTAAAATAAGCTACTTCCAATACTTTAACTTTCTGCTGATATCTCAACAATATTGAAGCCAGTAAGGCCAGATATCCTCACAGAAAGTGCTTATCACTGCCCTGTCTCTGGTACCTGCCTACACCCCCTAATAGCTTGTAGCTGGAGGACAGGCAGGCTCTTTATCCATTTGCTAACTGTTCTCTACCCAGATTTACCCTTTCAGTAGCAAATACCCTACAGCAAGGCCTAGCTGGCTGTTTTATAGCTCTAATGTTGCTGGGAAAGCTGATTATGGTCAAGAGCTGACCTTTCAGAGCTGAAAAATCAGGGAACCAACTACTTGCAAGTCAAGACATACTTTTTACAGCTATTGCAAAAGGGTTCTAATTTTGTAGTACAGTCTTTTGATCTGCAAGCAGCAAATTTAAGACTGTCATTGATTTCCAGCAAGAAGAGTAAAAGGCAAAAGATTGCACTCTGGAAAAAAAAAGGCTTTAACCTGGAATGTTATTAACACTTTGTCTTAGGTTGCAATGCAAGATGTAACCAAAAGTATTTATTCTATTACCAGCTGTTAAAACCAGGTGGGGCAGTGTTCTTTATCTGTTCCATGACCCATCCTCCCTCCAGGGGGATATCTCCTGTTAATTGCCCATTGAGTCTCACTGCATGACTGATAAAATTACATTATCCCACTGTGAGCTGCTCCACCCAGGGGGAGGAGCCAAGCATTCCTACCTGGGTATAATCTGAGACTTGGAACACCACAGTCAGCCTTCCTCCACTGGATTCCCAGAGGAAGACCGGACCCATCTACACCACCACTGGCCCTTCAGAGGAAAACTACACCCTTCTACAGGATCACTGCTTCAACAGAACCACATCTGTCACTCCAGGAGGACTGCAGCCACCATGAAATCAAACTGCTACCACACTGTGACTAACAGGGTGTCAGGCTGTATTCTGACTCTATTAGTGGTTTTTTTTTTTTTTTTTTTTTTTTTTTTTTTGTTTGGTTTGTTTTTTTTTTTTTGTACTACTGAATTTTTATTTCAATTTCCCTAGTAAAGAACTGTTATTCCCATTCCCATATCTTTGCTTGAGATCCCCTTGAATTCAACATTGTAATACTTTGGAAGGGGTGGGGGTTACATTTTTCCATTAAAAGGGAAGTTCCTGTCTTCCGTAGCAGACACCTGTCTTTTCAAACCAAGACATACTTGCCCAGCCACCCTCAGCAAGTCCTACACTATTTTGTTGCTGTGGAATTTTTGGATTCCCTTATCCTCTCTTTGATCTGATAGAAACTAATAATTTTTAATACAGAAATAGCTTCAGGCCTTCCCTAAGATATATATAAAAAAAAAAAAGATCATTTTGTCCTCTCTGTACTCAGTAAGCTGACCTCATTTAGTCAAACAGCATCCTTCTATCAGATTGCCCTACACATGAAATAGTTAAATATACCCAAGAGTTACTTTCTAACACATTTTCAAATGTGTTATTTCATTATAAAGTATTACAAAAAGGCGCTAACAAAAATAGTGAATAGTTTTTACAGGAAAGCATTTTTGGACACACTTCATTTCTTACAATGTAACCTTTTGAAACCCACTAATGCTGTAGGATTTCCACATAAAAATGTGGTTGTTATAACATTATAAAAACTCATAAAGTTTTTCTTACCATGTTTGCAGATTGGAGGATAAAAGGCATCAGGATAAATGCTCCCAGCCTGAAAAGCATCTTGGTGACTTAGTAATAACTGTGGAAAGGATGAGGGGGAAAGAATCAGAATGCTATTGCACAGCACAAAACCATATTTACAGCCACCGTCAAAGACACATTCTAAATAGCCAGCAAAATACAACTATTATCTTGGTAAAATACACCATGTGGTGCATAAAACTTTGCTTTTATTTTGCTGTTCTTAGGTTTATTAAATCTGCTTTCCCAAAGTCCTCTACTCATTCTTCTAATACAACTGTTCACATAGAGTATGACTAAAGAAGATAGGAAAACATGCAAGAAACCACACAAAGTGTATATATACCCACATCAGTATAATTTCTATATTTCTGTAATAATATTCAGAAGAAGTCAAATTATATTGAATAAAAAAAGATAAAAATACAGTCTGGGAACAATATTGAAATACCTATTACTGAGAATAATAAAGAAAAGCAAGAAGACAGAAAGAAAAGCATTCAGAAGAAAGGTGTACAAAATTGAGCAATAATATGCTTCCTACCTGTCTATAATTAACACTCCCTTCATGCTTAATGAAAAATTCCAGAGCTCTATGTGCTGAAAAACAATATATTGAAGTGTTGATTTACAGGTATTGTGTCCAGGCCCATGTTTTGTTAGAAGCACTAGCAGAACCAGAAGACACCACATTTTCATGCCTAAGCCAAGTTCCACGCACACAAAGCAGTATTTCTCACAGAACTGTGCACCTGTAAGAGGGTGTTTTTTCTCACCTAGGGAGTTAAGAAGGAAGTGCTCTTTCTGTAGCATATCTTCAGGCTCTCTCTAATCCCTAGCTCCCAATCTAACCAACCAAGCTGAAATCACAGGGAAATGATCTCCCTGTGTCCAGAAATGAGCTTCAACAGTGAACTGACAGGACCACACCCAGCACATGTAAAGCATGGACCATAAAGTTCTAGCTGTGCTGTATTCAAGTTTCATTGTTGCCCTTACCAGTGAAAAAGGTATATTGGGAATCAATGTGAGTGTTTAACAGTTTGATTAATTTTTAACATGCATGAAAAGTAACAAAAATCCAAAGTCAATAAGGTAATAACACTATTTATTCACTGTATTGGCAGATATTCTTATTGTCAAAATCTTTATTTAGCTGGCACAACAAGTGAACAAAACAAACTGATACCCTTTTCTTTAATGAGGTCTCCTAATTAATATTAGATCCCAGGAATAATCTATCAACACTATTTTAAAAATACCCAACATTTCCTCTAAAGCTATTTACAAGGATTGAAATTAATTTGTTCCTTACCAAATAAATCACATCACAAAAAGCCCCCAAAAACCAAACAACAAAACCAACAAACAATAACTTCCCCCACCAAATCCAAAACAATCCATTACTGTTCTGGAATAATATCTAGACAAAACTGGGGGGGGGGTTGAATGATCTTTCACTTTGAATTTTACCCAATAATCTAAATCATCCTTATACAAGTAAGTTAAGGTAACTTAAAGACCAGCCTTGTACCAGAAGAGAACCAACAACAACAAAATAATAACCTAAAATTTAAGGCTCAGATATTTCTACACACATATCTGATTCCAGTGTGGGAGAGCCTCAGTTTGGCAGTTTGCATTTTCTGCCTCACACCTCCCCCACACTTTTCTCACTACTCCAGTGGGCCCAGCTTCTACAACTCCATCTTTACACAGAATTTTATGCCAGATCCCCACAGTGCCACAGAGCCTCACAAGTCTGACAGGAACCCCTGGGGTGAAGAGCTTCCTCACTGTGACCTGCCTCCAGGAATGGCCATGCAAGTAGGACGCAGCACAGCTCTGCCAAGCACACTGAACTCGATCAACATTCTGAACAGGCAGAGTTAGAGCTTTTCACCGTTTTAAAAGTACTTTCAAAATTCTGACAAGGATTTCTTTGGTGCTGGCTTTGAGTGAGAAGAATTCCTTTCTATGGTTTGTCATTTGGGGTGTGGGGTTTTTTTTTGGGTTTTTTTTTTTGTTTGTCTGTTTTTTGTTTTTGTTTGTTTTTTAGGTTTTTGGTGGGGTTATTTTTGTGGGTTTTTTTTGGTAGTTTGTTTTTGTTTGCTTGTTTTTGTTTTGCTGGAATACTCAGTGTTTTAATTTTGGAAATATTTTCATCCTCTCATCATAGACTTTTATGTGAACAACAATAAGAGCACCCATTTTAGCAGCATCAGGGCTTATCAGTTTAATGTAATTTTCTGACAAATGGACAAAACTTCTTGTAAACTATGACCCAATAGTTGAGTGTACACACAAAGGCAACCAAGCTCTTTATGTTATGAAGACACAAGTTTTCTGCAACCTGGTCCCTTGATTAGAAGAAGAAAAAAAAATTACTGCTTTGGGACAGATCTGTAAGCTTGTTTCTCTTTGCAGAATTTTTTTTTTTCAAACACACTCTATTCTGGCAAATCTGTTATTTCAAGTCCTCAGGAGCTCATAGTCAGTAATTAGAGCCCTCAGCTTGCAGAGTTGTGTGCTCTTGCCTAACCTCAGGCAGCGTGACTTCTCCTACAGATTATTATGGGTTTCTTGACACATTGTTAGGAAAAACAAATTGTTCCAGGATGCTGACCAAGGGTACAACACTCAGTAAGGGAACACACTCCAGTCTCAAACACCATGAATAATCCCAGTCTTTAAATTGTTCAAATTTGCATGTATTCAGTACCTAAAGTCTGAGAAAACTACCTGAACAAAGGCAACATCCTACATTTTACCATCTGCTTGAGCAATGGATTTAGAACCAAAACCAGAAGAAAAAACAATTAAAACTGTCAACTATTATGAGTAGCTGTTTCAGAGTAACCTCACACTGCTCGTGTTTGTGCTTGCAATAACTGTGAAGGAAACCAGATTTTAAAAATAGCACAGGCAAACAGAAAAACAAATATTTCTCCATTTTGATGTTCATTCAGTTCTCTCCTTCATTCTCTAAAAATCTAGGCTGTTCTGGCTACAGAGAGCAGCCTGCCAGAAAGAGACACACAACAAAATTTTTATGATGTAGTTACAGATAGAAATACATTACAGAATTTTATCTACTTGTGCAGGTATGGCATAATTAATACAGAGTGATTTGAAAACAGTTACTGCAAAGGACTTGTGTTATTCTTTTAGTTAAAATATAACAATCCCAAGAATTGCCTGAAGCATTCCTTTTCTTTCTCCAAACCAAACTCTGTCTGCGTACGACTCACAGACAAAAACATTCCAGTTACATAATGCCTGTGTCTTAGGAGACGGAAAAACAAGCAACCCAAGTTAATTCAAGCATTTTACTTACAAAAACACTAAAATTTCAAACTCCAAACTATTCATTTATCCTTTCTGTTATTCACATTTTTTTTTAATTATGTAGTCTGCCTGTTACTTTAACATTATTTTCTCCCTTTGCTTTCAAGTCAAATCTAAATTTACTTTTCTTCACAAGAAATTCAAAACACAAAATCCATTTTGAACATGTCTTACCTATTTCAACATGTGTTGAAATTCCACATGGGATACAGCTTTGACAGAAATGGTAGAGTATAACCAGCAAGACAGACCAAATCTTCAGACCAACCATGATGCTGGCTCCAACCGTGGTTTTCAGAAGCCTGGAGCAGTAGCACTGTGACCTTTGAAATGCAGGTTACGGAGCATGCCTTTTCTTTCACACATATTGCTGACACAGCAAGCAAACGACCGCCAAATTTGAAAGGCTGTTTTATACCAATGCTTTCTTTTACAGCAAATAAAGTAGTTTATATAAAGAAATAAATAAACTGTGGGTACTCTCTCCAGTTGAATTCTGTAATATCTCTGGGATTTGGGCAGTGTAATCAGTGCATCACTGCACAGAAGCAGTGAGATTTCTGTTAAATCCAACAGCATGGCAAAGAGTATCCTCTCAGAGTTTGTTCAGCTTATGGTGTGCTTGCCTTACAGCAACTACATCCCACTTCACAAAATAAATTAAAGCCAATTGCCAAAGCAGTATTAATAGAAAAACACCAGCTCCTGAGTTGCAGGTAATACAAATTCATAACCTTTGATGAGCTGATAGGATACTGCACACTTAAGTGTGGGTCTTCAGTTCAGTATTGATATGATATCACTACTCCATCACATATCTCCAGCTGATATGGGGAGACTCGTGGCAGTACTCCTGCCGAGTGTATCACTATGAACTTGTGGCTGCAGCGGCTGCGCACCCTGCGTTTCCCAGCCACCCTTCCCGCATGTGGCACAGCCACACCAGTCCCCAGCCAGATGATGGCACCGGGCAGGGGCTTCACATGGCCCTTGTGCCAGAGACTGACCAGCTGTCAGGGGACCCATGGGCCAGTGCTCCTGCAGTAAAGCACAAATTAACCTGGAGGAGACTGAGAGCCCTGAGACTTTATCACAGCCTGCAACTTCCTCACGAAAGGAAGAGGAGGGGCAGGCACTGATCTCTTCTCTGTGGCGATCAGTGACAGGACCCGAGGCAATGGCATGAAGCTGTGTCAGGAGTGGTTTGGGCTGGGTACTAGGGGAAGGTTCTTCACCCAGAGGGTGGCTGGGCACTGGAACAGGCTCCCCAAGGAAGCGGTCAGACCACCAAACCTGACAGCGTTCAAGAAGCATTTGGACAACGCCCTCAGGCACACTGTGTGACACTAGGCGTGTGCTGTGCAGGGCCGGGAGCTGGACTTCCATGATCCCTGTGATGACTCCTTCCAACACAGGATATTCTGTGACTCTGAGCCTCCCCTCTCCCTACGAAGCAGAGGTCTCGATGGGGAGGGGGAAACGAGGCTCAGGGAAGCAGAAG